TGACACAATAACATCAGAAACGTTTGACAGACACGTGTCAGTTGTTTCTATGCAACTGACTACGCCACTTCAGGATTTTATATTGATTAAATTGTCTGACAAATAGATTATGGTGATTTGCCACATAAATGGTCGTCTGTTCTGATTATAGCCTTCTAAGACTGTGTGCTATAGAATATGAGCGTATTCAAAATAATGATGTTCGGAAGCAGCGAATCTTCCATCCCTTGTAGGAATTCTAAATTTGATTATTATGTTATGTGTTGACGAAGCAAACATTACACTTTCTCTTCGTTAGTCAAGTTTGCAATACTATTCGACAGTTTTATTGATTTAATAGATACACTATAATACAAAGTTCAATACAGCTCTTCGAACCGCAAAGAATACATATATATGTGACTAAACTGAAAACATTAAGACCTACAAGGAATATAGTAATCCAGAAGGTCTGGCAGTTAAAAATGAAGCGATAATTGTGAAATTTATTCTAAATTTATTTACTAACCATTTAATCTCGGGGTCCAATGTACATTTACCTACATTACACTAAATTAATAATCAACCCACGCCATAAGACTGAATCCTTAGGTAATAATTATAAGGTTATTATTTATTAAACGCGACCTAAATGCATCGGTAAGGTCTATAATCATTTTTGAGGAACAGAAGATCATATAAGGAAAATAAGTGTAAATTTGATGTAGAGTGATAGCCTACCCTAGTAAACGGCATAAAACAATCAACTCTAAAAAATTAACATGATCACCACCTACCCGCCGTTTCTGTTGTTCTAATTCAAACAGATCAGCTGGTCCAAGTTCTGGGAGGCATTCCTGCGTGTGAATCAAGCACATGAATCTCAAGAAATATGTAGCGAAGTGAAGAAGGGCCATTAAATAAGCACGAGACTGGCCAGAAATTACAGTGCAGTTAAATATACTTCCGAATGATACTGAATCCGTTCCCATGGTTCTGAAACCTGTTTGTGTGAGCAACTGATCCAATAACCTGACGGGCATATTCTGGTTATTCGATATTGACGAATTCCCACAACTGACCCCCTAAGATAATGAATTTTAGAGAACAAAACCAAGTAATTATTCTAGGATGAAATGATTCATAGAGATTTCGTTAATTCGATGCATTGACGTATTGAAGATTCTGAATTCGATATTGGTTGACAGTTGTTTTGAGTTCCATATGTTCTTCAACTGTAGGAATGTTGTCCTTGCTTTGCCAATCATCGCCTTTACGTCTGCAGCAGGTCCTCCAAGTTCATCAATGATGCTACCCAGATACGTGAGAATTTCCACCTCTTCCAGAGTTTCTCCATCAAGTGTGATTGTGCTGGTGTTTTCCGTGTTGTATTTGAGGATCTTGCTTTTCTCCTTGTATGGGTTGAGGCCTACTGATGCAGAGACTGCTGCTACACTAGTTGTCTTCATCCTCATTTGTTGATTTGTATGGGATAGAAGGGCCAGGTCATCTGCGAAGTCCAAATCTTCTAATCGATTCCGAGCTGTCTATTGTATTCCGTGCTTTCTCTCAGACGTCGAGGTCTTCATAATGCAGTCTACCACCAGAAGAAAGAGAAGGGAAGAACGTAAGTAGTCTTGTCTGACTCCTGTCTTCGCTTGGAATGTATCTGTCAGCTATACTTCATGCATGACTTTGCACTTTAGTTCATTGTATGAGTTCCGTACGATATTGATGATTTCAGATACACTATGGTGTTGAAGAAGTCTCCATAATGTTCTCCTATCTACACTATTAAATGCTTTCTCATAGTCAAGGAAGTTGATGTATAGTGGGGAGTTCCATTCGATTGATTATTCAACGATGATCCTCAGTGTCTTGATTTGGTCTGTGCACGACCGATCCGGCCTGTTGATCTCGAAGTTAGGCGTTTACTGAGTTTTTCATCCGGTCCAGCAACACTATTGAGAACTTTTCCCAGTACTGGAAGTAGTGTGGTTTCTCTGTAGTTCTCACATTTGCTTAGATCTCCTTTCTTTGGTATCTTGGTGAGGTGTCCTTTCCAGTCTGCCAGTACTTATCCTCTCCCCCAAATCTCCCTGAATAGAACGTGGAACATCTTTGCATTTACTTCTCTATCTGACTTCAGTGCTTCAGCTGGCGTATTTTCAGGTATTACTACTTTCCCATTCTTGATTTGTCTGGTGGCCATCCTGATTTATTCGATCGTTGGTGGAGTGACATATATAGGAAGGTCTGCAGGTGCTGCTACAATGTCTGGTGGGTTCAGTAGATCTGGTCTATTCAAGAAACCCACCCATGTGTTCCTCTATCCTTAAATTTCAGTGATTGGCCTGCCTTCTTTGTCCTTGACCGATCTATCTGGTTTACTATATTTCCCTGTCAGTTTCTTCATCGTGTCATATAGTTGTTTCATATTTCCTTCTCTTGCAGCTTTTTCCGCTGTCGTTGCTAACTCTTTCACGTAATTCTGCTTGTCGACTCGAAAACTCCTCTTCACTTGCTTGTTTGCTTCAGTGTATTCAGCTTGTGTCTTGACTTTCTCTGTTCTTTTTGGCTATTGTTAATTGCTATCTTCTTGTTCTTCCTTTCTTGAATCTTGTTCAGGGTTTCGATAGAGATCCATCCCTTATGGTGATGCTTCGTGCGACCCTGAACCGCATGTTATGTTGAATTTATTGCTTTTTCGATCACTTCACAGTTGTCCTCGATAGTGATTTCTTCCTCTTCCTTGACTAGATCTTATAAGGTTTTGAACCTGTTGTTGATAGTTATCTTGAATTGGTTGAGTCTGTCACTATGTCGAACGGGGGCTCTATTGAACATTTTTAATGCTGTTTCCCTAGCTGTTCAGCGTTTATTTAGCTTTAGTTTCAATCTTGACAGCCACTATCAAGTAGGGATCTTAAGCTATGTCATTTCTTCTTCTCTCCCTCTTTCTCACGATTTCCATTGCCGTGATTTTTCTAGTGATGCAAATATGGTCTATCTGGTTCTCTGTGGTGTGGTCTGGTGAGATCCGTGTGACTTTGCTAATGCGTTTGGGCGAGAATATTGTGCATCAATAACCATTTTGTTGAAGGCATATAAATTCTCAAATTTTTCATTCTTCTCGCTGCTTTCTTCCAGTTGGTTTCGTCCCGTCATATCTTCATACTCGATGTTGTCCGTTTCGACCTTGGTGTTTAGGTCTCCCATCAGGACGGTTGGGTCTTTTCCTGGCCTTCTTCTATGGTCAATATCATCATCGGTGAGTGCATAACACTGAATAATATTCATCGTGATTACCTTCTTCGTTTTGAAGGATGCCTCGATTACCCTGGATCCGTGAGGTTTTCATCATATAAGTGTTTTACGTGCTTCTTTGGACAGCATCAAAGTGTGGGGAGTAGTGTAACGACGTGTACTATATTACACCTACATAGCTTATTCTAGTTTCTGGACAAGTCAATTCTCTTATAACGTTACGAGTCATATTTTGATCTTGTTAATTATTCGCTTATTGACCTTGAATATTTTTTTATATGAGCGTATGTGTGTGCACCCTTCTTATCCTACCTATCACATGTCTGTCATTCATTTTAGTCTGACTATAAATGTTGATTAATGCTTGCTTATAACGAGTTGGCTTACCAGCCATCTCCCATGTATGTTATTTTTTCTTCGCTCGCTAACATTTACTCATGTGCTTACTGCCTTCTAGTCTATGTTATTTGTCAATAAAAATGTAGTTGCACTTCCCTTTGTCTCCTGATCTTATACACCGTTCAGATTGATATAATAACGGTTATCAAGACGATCGATTAACGAAGCACTACACTACAAGAGCAACTCCTTGTGTGCAAGTAGCATTTTCTTCTTCTTGATCAGAGTACAGCAACATTTCTCTCCAATCTTACCTCTTCTGTTCATCTTTGGTCCAATGGGTTACAGTGATTCCGGGAACCACGAAGGTTTATCTCCTCATTTCCGTAATTGTTCTCCGAACGTTCCATGTACCTATAAAAGTTGTTGTTCTGGTTGCTCGAAGGGACATCAGCCTCATGACTTCCGAAGAATCTCGGTCTTCACCATGAGGCGTCATAATTCTTCCTAAAGAAGATCCCTCAACTGGGAGGGCAGAGTTTATGTGGTTTATTTTGTTTATTCTGGTAAGCGCTTTATTTTCGCAAAGTTATTCTTTACGGGATGGGGTTGTTAACCCCAAGCCCAGCCCTCCTTCTTTACTCAGGCTTGAAACTGGAAGTAACTCTGGAAGAGCTAAAGGCGGAGTGAACAAGATCCATACCCCTCTGTAACACACATTGCCGCCCAACTAACTAAAAGCCGATCACGAACAACTAGAAGTTCGCCGATTCTGCCAATCAAGCTTCAAGCTGAATCTAATGCGGTATATCCGTGTATTGAACAATGATTATGACATTATTTGTTATTTATTCTATCTAAGAATGGTCTTTTGAGGAGACATTTGTGAGATTTAAAGCGAGAGATCAAATAATCTACATTTAGAGTCTTGTAATTTTGCATGGGAACCCTATCATTTGGGAGTTTGTCAGAAACCTTAGTACCAGCACCGGTTTATAAACTCGAAATGTGCTTGGATTTTTTAGTATTACAAATATCAGGGTTGGAACTGGGAATCGACTTCCTATCCTTACCTCTGACGACTGAAGAATCCTGGCGAGACTATTTATGGATGAACCAATCAGACTTATGACAACAGGTCCTGGATTTCATTCATCTATTTGGTTGAAGAGCGTCTCGGCATTTTCTCCGATGTCCTTTCCTGTTGAAAACCCTACATCTAATTTTCTATCCCTAGCCATCAACTGTAAATCACAATCCTCATCATTCACACGGGTTTAAAACCCTCATTTAGCCCTAGTAAGTAGGTGGACGTCCTCAAGCACACTTCGGTGTCGTTCAAGGGTCGTCTATATATTACAGTCTCACCAGAAAACTCGCTAAGAAGTTGATCGTCTTAAGCAAGCTATATTGGATATTGAATAACTTATGGTGACCTTGGAGTGTCATTATTGCCGTTACCTTCGTTAAGGCTTTAGGGACGCACGGGTTGATGTCGTTTGCCCTCCTGAAAAAGGCCTTCGGTATCGGGAAAGCAATCGACGACCGAGAGTTTGACGAGTTTCTTAAGGCAGTTGACGTCAATGATGTGCATGTCGGGTTTGTAGTTCAGTTTGCTCTGACTAAAATTTAAGGCAATTGAGTAAATTATTAAGAAAAAAAGCAGTCCGGTTGTTTGTCCTAAAAAATGAAGACTCAGGTGTTATATTTGATTCTTCAGTACAAAAGGTATACCCATACTCATGATTTTACTCTCAGGATCCTGTTAAATCCGCTCCAACCATTAATATTGGTCGTCAGCAGTTGAATCTTAGTGATATGGCGTTTGGGTCTTATTCTTTGAATAACAGAAAGCCGCTCTTGAATTCAATGAAAATTCATGATATGAGGTGAGTTCATCTCTTAGCTGATGACAAATTGTAGTTCTATTGGGCAGGTTCTGTTTACTCGAGTTTTTCATGAATTTGATGAGTGGTAAGTACGGAAAAATCCTGAAGCAACTACTTTTCAGGCGAAAGCTGTATTCAAAAAGTGAACACAACCATGGGATCAAGCAAGAGACCTCCGTTGGAAATCCCGAATTGGTATGACAATTTGCTAAGTTTATTTTCCCATAGTTAAAGAAACATAACTTAAGGAGTTACAAAACTTTGGCAGTTTGCCTGCTTATCAATTTGGAGTGGTGTTCGCCTACTAGTGGGTCGTGTACCAACAAAGCATGCTCACAAAAGTCACATAGTCGTCGGAATTTCTATCATCTATTCAACAATGATATTTCCCACCACAACCAACTAGTTCCTCAGTCGTCTACGGATACTAGCTTGAAGTTATCGGCCTTTACCGCGAGACGTTTCTACAATATGCTCTTTGAACACTGGGCCCAGTTGAGCTTAATAATAGAGACACTATCAAATGAATGTGCAATAGCCGTATGCAGCAATGCTAAAAGCTACTGGGGCACACACAAACTTGTTCCAGAAACACACTGTACAGAAACCATTGCAAAAGCTTTCAACAACTTTCTGAATTATTTCCGAGATCTATGTTTACCCAAATTATCTTTTCCAATTTGGCCTACGTTAAATGTCACATTATCTACCGATTTTGACTCATTATCACCCTGCTCTGATCGATCACGAGCAGATTGTGTTGCTTATTGGCTTAATATGGACCCTACATATTCCCAGTCAATGATCGTCGATTCTAACCAAGCTTCCAAAGACAGTCTACTCGATGTGTTTGTGAGATCATGTCTGGCACCTTTAATTATTAAAGGTAATAGTAAAGAACATCGTAGGTAAGTGAGCTTTTAGCGCTTAAGCTGCATTACAAAAGTTCTCACGTTAGTATATATTTGGTGAGTTTATAGCCGTTCAGCTTGTCTGTACAATACGTAGTTATGATTTCAGTTTTTCTTTTGGATTGTAGATCATATAACATGTAGGGATTGTTTAGTTAGCTAGTTATTTACACATTTATGTTGGAAGGGTGACTGACACTTTTATCGGACCACTACTGGATAAGGCTATGAACAGTGTCTAAGGTTTATCATCCTCTTAAAAGTATTCGATTGTAGGTGAACAAAAATCAGTTGAAGGAGCATTCACGTCTTACTTTCCGAGTGTCTACCGGATAATTTTCCTTTGTCTTTTGCCGCTTGTATTCCCATCGCCGGTTTTGTTCTTTAGTAGTCTTTTGTTAGAAGGCAATTCATATAGATGTACTGTCATTCAAGAATATTTTACGTCTTTGTATGACTGGTTTTTTCTTTACATAAGTACTTGTGATACGAATTATTCCAGGGGTATTTAGAGTCAATTGGATATATTATTGAGGTAGCGTAGTTGTAATATTGTAGTTATTCCTATTGGTTCTCTTGCGGTTTCTGCAATATCATTGACGTCAACGTGTTTTAACTTTTTCCTACTAAGCAACAAATCTTGAGATTCCTGTAGGTCATTATGTAAGTTACGTGACGTCTTATCATCTATCTACTTAGGTAGTTCAACTGCTTCGTGACTAACGTTATGGTTGGGAACTTTTTTCATGAGCTTTTATACCTGCTGGTTATGAGTCACGGTATGTGCTCACCTTATTCACGTAAAAATGTTACTCAGTTGTTCAGCGTATTTTTTAGTCATAAATTCGTCTATATTTCTGATTGGGTGCTGTCAGACTAGTCAGCGGATTTCGCTATGACTTAATTAACATATACTAACCAAAAGCGTTTTTACTTGAGGTTATTTAAAAGTCCATTAGGCATAGATCAATTATTTTTCATTCCATACTTGAGATACTCCTTCCAAGCACTCACCTAGTTCAAAGCATTTTTACCGTATATGCAACGAGACTGCACCATCTACGAACCGGAAATTGACTACACCTGTATGTAGAGCGGTTTGGGATTAGTTGAAGCATGCTTATAACAAGGTTGAAAATGAATTAAAGGAACATACAAACATGGAGAACACTAAAAGTTAATTCATTTTGTCCTTTAGTGTGACGTTTCCTTTTTTCACGGAGTTAAAGTCTTTGATAGCGGTTTTTCGTTTTACCCTGTCTACAGTCGTTAACACTGCACACAGAATATATTCAGGTAACAAACGGTAACCCAGTCTCTCCATACTTAGCCAACGCTATTCAGTCGATCGAGATTCAGTTCATAATAGTGCTATATGTATGTGTTATTCTTCAGGTCTGTATCTTAAAACATTTATTTCCTTATTTCACTCTCGTTTTGGATCATTCTCATACTTAGTTCTTCAAATTATGCTTTGCATTATAATTCTATCTCCTGCCAAGTCGTACATTGACCATGACTAACTGATCAAGTATTTAACTTGTCTCTAAATTTCTGAAAAGTGTTTACTGCAGTTTAATTAGTCCGATAAGGTCGTGAATGTTCATTTTCTGGTCTAAAGTATAGCTTTGGTTCAGTTAGTCGTCACTTCTAATCTCGCCATCTGATTTCGTTTAGGAACTCAGACGCTACTTGTAGTCTTCACAAAATGAGTGTCACTCAAGGTCTAGGACACTAACATGTACGTAATTACTTATTTCAGTTAACTAACGTGGTTGTAACATCCAAGTTCGGTTAATAAACGTCCACAGCATTAGTTTCTGTTGTTTTGTATTTTTATACTAATAAATGAAAGATTCTAAGATTGAAATTTCAACAACTAGTTTAAAGTACTATTTAGAACACTAGGAATGTCCTTTTTATTAGCATAAAGATGTTATGTAGAAGAACTTAGGGGAAACTGAAATGTTATGGTGAGGTTGGTAAATAGGATTCCACCAGGAGTGTTCACAGCATTTCTCATTGTGAGCCCTCCCGGTAGGGTAGATAAACACACTAAAAAGTTCTTTTCTGGACTCTGACTATACACTAGTACGCGCCACATATCTTGTGTTTCAGAGGTTAAAACATTCATCTCAAACGGATTGATGTAAATTTGTATCACTTACCATCACATTACTTTTCGGTTGGTGACTACCAGTCCACCCAAAGAGGTAAAGACCTGTAAGAATACCGCACTTTCGAAGTTGCTCAGGTATCTAGATTCAACCAACATCTCAGGTTAGTTTTAAGAATAAAAGTGAATTTCTGGTTAGGAAGTTGTTTGGATTATTTTGGAAGATTTAACAGTCTGGATATTCAACGGTATTGGGATGAGGTGATTATCGTACCACCTTTGAATATGACCATAATATAATTATCGACTTTGAGTCTGCTTCTAACTGGATTCTTTTCGAACCATATTTCCCAATGTTTAGACTTTCTTACTATTGTTGATACTACTATTCCAATTTTGATATTCTTCACTTTAAGTTCATTTAACTTTACTAATGCAGTGTTTCAACTTGAACCGACACACAGTGGTTCTGACTTACCAACTTTCTAAGCACACCAGTGTGTTTTAATGGGATTTTAGAAATTCACTCACTGTAACTATTGGTTAAAAGTTATTGTCTTGATCACTTTTATAGAGAAATCTGAATACACGACATGATCATATCATGATAAAAAGTCAATAGACAAGCGCTCTGAGTAGTACTGAATACATCACACTGAAAAATAAACCATATCGTTACATTCCTGTAGTCAGAGGACGAGTTGTTCGTATTCGTTTGGTGGTAGCCATAAATTCGTTAAGTCAAAATACAATAGATTTTTTTTGTTTGTTGAATATTGCAAGAGATTTCAAATATATACACGCTATACTGTATTGCAATAGTGATTCGTAAAATATATTGGCCAATTTTTTTGTAGCTTTCTTGCTCGGTTGATTACTGGTATTCTTATGTTCCATACTGGTTGGATTGATGGTTCAGGATCACGTTCAAATCCGGTAGGTTTTCATGCACTTATTGTAGTTAATCTGTGAATTTAGTAAACTAGCAGTTTTCATTGCAACATAAAAGTAACGAAATTATGATAATTTTATGTGGTACCATCTGTAATGGCATTCGTCCAGTATAACTAAGCGTTATGAATTGTTATATTTTGCCTTAATTTGGTGGTGTATCATATTTTAGACTGTTCCCATTCGTTGAATTCTCTTCTACCAACTTGGATTATCTCATTGAAAGCCATTTTTACAGATGTCCATGTAGATGTGCTCAACACGACATTCATTTATTATCTTTGAATGTAAGGGGCAGAAATATATCAGAAAACCTTAATTGTTGTACTTTAGAGTTGAAAAGACTTTCGGCAATCTAAAACGAGGAAGGGAAGCAGGGCCTGATGGATTAACTCCTAAAATTTTTAAGGGTGGTGGTCTATTTTTAACAGTTGTATTGACTAAGATCTTAGCTGGAACCTGGGAACTGGACGTAATCCCATCTGAATGGTCTCGATCGCTGATCGTTTCAATCTATAGGAATGGGCAAAAATCCTCACGTGACAATCACAGAAATCAGTTTGATCAACATAACGTCTAAAATATTAGCCTCAATGGTACTCCGAAGTCTAACTGGAGCTCGTAAAGAGCAAACCTGAGAAAACCAGGTTGTTTAGACCTGGGCGTAGATGTATAGACCAAATATTCTTCCTCCAGGGAGGTTCTGGAACATAGCCATACTCTTGACGTCCGACAATGGTTGCATTCTTTGACCTCAAGACGACGCTTGACTCTGTTGGTCGTAAGGTTCTGTTTCAGTGTCTGTCACTGAAAGACTTGCCAAAGAAGTACATTAACTTTGTACAGGCTCTCTACTCAAACACTATTGAACGAGTCAGAGCTTATGCCAAACTGTCATCGGAATTGGTAACTTCAATTGGTGTTCATCAGAGTTGTCTGATTCTCTTACTTCTATTTAACTTTGTCATAGACATACTTTTTACAAATAACACTTTCATCGTCTGACTTTCCAGGGATTGATCTTCTACCAGAAGATTCACTTGTTGACTTAAAATGCTCAGATGATATAGTTCTGTTTGTCGAAGATGACGAAACCCAAAGTCTTCTGACCACCTTAAGTAACAATGGAATCATGTTTGGGATGTGATTATCTCCCTCTCAATGTAAAATTTTGCTTCATGACTAGCCTGAGTCAGCACCTAAATTAATGATAGGGAGTAATGTAGTTAAGCATCTCTACTGCCTCACTTATCTTGTGGGTCTTATCAGTTCTGATGGTCTGGTGTCCGACGAAATCTCGACACGGATTCACAAAGCTCGATTGGCTTTCCTCAACTTACGTCACCTGTGGCGTAGGGAAGATATCCGTCTGTCGATCAAAGTACGAGTTTATTGCACAGCAGTTCGCTCCATCCTACTTTATGAGTGTAAAACATGGCTATTAGGAGTAGTGGATGTTCTCATCATCTTATTTATGTATTTGACCACATAGACATTGGTGAAGGGGGGTACCAAATGCATATACGCCACACAATAACAATGAGAATGTGAAGAGATAGAGAATGTAAAGTGCGTATAATAAAGTAGAACAACAATGAACAGAAATTGGTGTATAAGAGGGAAATAGTAGTATTAGTGATAGTAATGGGAGAAACATTTCAGTTAGAAAAATACAGCCAGAAAGAATTCCTTCAGTTAAAGAAGTTGCGTTCATTTTTATGAAGAAAGTAAACGAAAGTTACAGCAGGATCACCACTGGCTTCTATCCTGAGCCATATCTGATAACGCTTTTAGCCATTGTGTTGTTCCATCTCTAGGACCCCAAACAGGGAGTCATGAAGGACCAACAGAAGCCAGTCCTATGAAGCATTCTTTCATACAATGACACCATGTTATACACTGACCTCTTCTGCTTTTCCAAGATGGTGACACTAATCAAATTGTCGTCGCCGTGCCCGAACATATGATACCGAACCTCTGCATTACTAACATGGTGTCACTAGATGTCAGGAATCCTTCGGAAACGACGATGATCAGACACAGAGAGCCGTCTGACGTCCTCAACTCAGAGAGACCAGGTTTCAAAGGCATAGAGCAAACTGCTCTCACCGACGCGTTGTAGATTCGACCTTTTATAGCCAGACTAACATCACGAAGGCGCCAAAGATGATCCAGATTATCATAAGCCTCTTTGGCTTCCACTATACGTCGATCGATTTCATCACTTACACAGCTACCCAGATACATTAATGTCTTGACTACTTCTATCCGCCCACTACCCAGGGTAAGTGCAGGATCAGGGTCGTGCCAGTCTTGCAAAAGTACTTCGCACTTCGAAGGTGCAAATCACATGTCATACCTACTGACACTAATTGCCAACTGATTGAGTGCGGATTGCATGGCTTGGTTATCATAGCACAATATCGTAGCTTACTAATATTCGATCATAGGTGTCTTCGAAGCATTGTTCATGTATTCTGGGACCACTGACTGGACAGTTCCATGGTTTGGCGTAGGCTACTGAGTAGAGACGGTAAATGGATTGATGATGAAGTAAATATTCATCAATTAAAGTGGTCGAAACATATGTTACGTATGCCCAACCACCTCCTACCTCGACGGGCTATGTTTTCTGGTATAATAGTAGGCTGGAAGAAAGCTAGGCGCAACCAGACCAAAATACGGGTTCAGTCCGCGAAGTCATTGATCATTGGACTAAACCATGTTAAGGGGTGTTGTTAATGGGACATAGATTGAATCGAAGCACGTCTCGTGCACGATTGTGCTGATGCACGCTGATTGGCTATTTCTTGTCCAATTAGCGCTAGTCGATATTTGGATAAGACCCTAGAATCTTCTCATATAAAAACTATAAGCATATTAACGTTTCTCGTATTGTGCTTCTTAATTCTATCTACCATTGTTATTTAGAGGATAGTTTCGTCCTTGTTCAACCGTGTTCTGATTTGCGGACTTGTCGAGTGAATTGGTGTCCAAGAATACTAAGCAATAGGAATAACTGGGTTGTAATAAGAGAAATTATAACATGTGTAGATTATCTTGTTGGAGTCCTCTTGATAATCGTAACCAGTAGTTAGAGACTTTGAATGACATGGCTCAAAATCGTTTACATTGGTTCAGATGTATTCATTCTTTGTCTTCCCCCAGATCCTAAGCTTCTAAATCCCTCGTGATTTTTTATTTCACTAATTCGTGTTTCCTTGAATCGCATCTTCAATGTATAACTTTTTCTACTAACACTAATGCTGTTGCTACCTCTAATACAGTGGAATTTTGCCTTGACAGTTTTGTGGTGGACCAAAATGTTTGATAACCAAAAAATTAGCAACAAAAATATTATGTCTATAGTTTATGTAACAATTAACAGTTAATAAGTAATTACACACAAAAATAACAAAATATGGGACGTTACTTAAGTCTTCAGGCTATTGCGTGTTCGGCTGGGTTTGGTCCAGTTACTCCACAATTATAAAAAGATTAATAATCCCAATATGGACGATATAGATCCAGTAGTTTTACCAAGCGTAGAATTCAATAAGAATGTCGCAATTGTCTATAAACGTAGATGGTATGCAATTAATATTTCATTCAACATATTAGCAGACAGGGCAGAACGATGCATACGTGAATTAGAGTGTATTTGTTGAGGAGCATTAACAGTGGCACGATATGTTGTACTCAAAACGGAAGGAAGAAGTGTTACAAGCGTTCAAAGTAATACAGTTAAACAACAAGTACAATTGTTTAATGCTTAATGTACAGAATATGAAAATACATGCGAAAACTATGAAAAATTATTTACAAAATAGGTTTTAAGGTTCTATCTCCACATAGCTCCCTCCAGAGTGTCCGGAGGTAACACTGATTACAATATGAACAACAAAAATTGAGAAATATTGTATACAAATGTACATAAAATAGTATTTACTGTAATAACGGAAAAAAATGGTGGAGATAGGAATAAATGTCACGTTAATAATATAGGCTATGCTACGCAAAATGAAACTGAAAAAAAGAGCATTAAAAAGCTTTGGTTAGCTAACAATAATAATAAAATGTGGAAAGCTGTTAATAGAGTCATAAAATTAAAAAAAAATGAATGAATTTAATAAATAGTTAGTTAGCATTCACTCGTTTATTACTATGACAATTTTTCTTATTAAAAAAAAATTGGCAAAACCGGTGATAACAAATAAATGTAGTTATTAAATGTACATGTAGGGGAAATAAATATCTTTTATTAGAAGATTGCGTAACTTCACAAAGTAATGCATGCAACTGATTGATTGTGTTAGACCATAAAATGTACATAACGTTTGGGTTTTTAATAAGTCTCCCGGATCGTGTTAAACAAGAGGGTGTAGTGCTGAGTTTTTCCTCTTCCTCTTGTTTCTTAGCAATTGATGGGAGTGATTGTTTGTTCGCCGTATTGTCATCAGTGGCTTGAGGGGGTTCGTAGAAAGCTGGTTTTATTCGGTCTATGGAAATTGTTTCATTGTTCCCGTTTTTGTTGATAATGAAATATTTGCAAGTGCGTTTTATTACTTTATACGGACCTTCATATGGTGGTGTCAGTGGCTTTTTCACCGCGTCTACTCGAACAAAAACAAATTTGCACGTTTCTAAATGTTTGTCGAGATGGACTGGATTGTTGTATTCTCGCGGTGGTATTGCTCTAATGTTCTGCACCACTTGTAATAGGCAACTTGCGAAATGAGTAGCATCTTCTTGCGTTGTAGGTTCACAGTTGACTAGTTGGCCCGGTAACGTTAGAGTTGTACCATAGACTAACTCGGCGGGTGTACAACCTATGTCTTCCTTCACCGTGGCACGAATCCCAAGGAGAACAAGCGGCAAGGCATCACTCCATTTTGTTGAATCAGTTTGAGCCATGAGTGAGCTTTTTAATTGCCGGTGAAATCTTTCAACCATGCCGTTTGCTGCTGGGTGGTAAGCTGTGGTTC